CCTGAACCTAACACTATTATTCTCGTTTGGATAAAGAAATATAGGGGGAAATGAAAAAGGAAAAATGGGCAGATGGAGATGTGATTGGGGGAGAAAGTAAGACAGAAAAATGCCACACCCAACACACACATACACATACAGAAAAATCACTGCCTTCCGACAGACTCAGGGCAATTTGCCAGAAGTGGTACGCATTCTATTTCTCATATCAACTTCCAACCAAAAATAACCTGTCTTTAAAACATTAAGCAAAAACTCAATTTTGAACAATATTCCAATAAAACCTCTCTAGTTTACCTTATTCTCTGGACCTAGGGTGGTTATGTTCTCTGTCCTGGTAAAACTAGGATAGAACAATGATATTATGCAGTCCTCAATTAGAGGTTCAAGAGACAGCTGATCACACAGCTGGCTGGCCAACATCAAGCCAATCTGACATTCAGGGATTTTCCCCAACAGGTAATTTTAGATCCAAAAAGTTATATTTGTATTTTTATTACTTCTTTCTTTATAATGAAAGTCCCCTTATAGTACTAATACATTAGGAAAACAAAGAGTCAGGCAATTATGTTTGACAGGGTGGGAGAACAGGACTACAACAAACTTGCAATCTCCAGCAACATCGGCTGGGACCACCCTCTTGTACAACAACCAGGGGCACCAAGTTCAAGACGAATGGTGCAATTAGTAGCCTCAGATGGTACTTTCTAACCTCCCTACTGCTTCTGCCTTGCTCGTACCCACTGCTCCCTAGATTGCTGAAGAGGGAAGTGATGAGATTACAACTTTAGTGGAATGCTCACAAACTCCTATCAACTGTGCCAGCATCGAGGAGGAAAATACAGGACTCCAGGACTCACAGCAAACAAAATACATCCTCCCATCAGGCTCCCTAGGACTACAACTGAAGGGAGCAGGAACTCCTCTCAACTCTTTTCAACGTTCACCTAGTATCTGCTGGGAACCATCCAGCAGTCAATCAGAGGAGAAGGGGCTTTTACCCTTCCCATTAATCTTTTCAAAGCTGTCATCTCCATACTTTGGCACTCAACAACAACAAAATCACCAGTTCTCCATTTTAATAGGAACCCATCAAATATATTTGGTAGAACTTAAACTCATGTCCTTGGAAATAAATTCCAAGTGACTGTGCTAGTTATCAAAAAGCTGGCGGAAGCCTGAAGAAGAAACATGAAATAAGCAAATCCTGAAATCTCCCTGCAAATATCACTTCTCTGCCCCTATTATAGAACCCAGTTATTCACACCTACAGGGTTGGTCAGGGGGAGGGGTCAGGATGTCATAAACCAACAGAGGAAAACACATTTCCATGGACAAATAGGCAAATGATCACCTCCACCAGCAAGGGGTGCAGGAAAGTTATATTTCTATTATGTCCCAATAAGGTAACAGGGGAACACAGAGGGCTATTGTCCCAATCCTAGAGGCCATAGTTCACTATAATACGCACTTGTAATACACTTGCAAATATATTTCAATAATATTTAGGATTTCTCATTATAATCATATTTAAAAAATTATTCAAATCACCAATAAAGACCCCCCCAACCCCCCAAAGAACCATTTAGGATGCTTCCGGGTTTTTCACTACTCTTGACAACAATTGAACACACGTATTAATAAATTTGATTTCCTTAAGGTAATTCAATTCCTAGGAATTTATCCTATCATAAAATATGATTTTGTAAAGATTTTTATTTATTTATTTTAGAGAGAGAGTGAGCGCGCGCACAAGTTGGGGGAGGGACAGAGAGAATCTCAAGCAGCCTCCCGCAGAGCACAGAACCCGAAGCTGGGCTTGATCCCACGATCCTGAGATCATGACCTGAGTCGACATCAAGAGTCAGACACTTAGCCCACTAAGGCACCCAGGCGCCCCTAGAATATGATTTTTTAAAAGAAAAAAATCCTTGCTTGAAATTTTATGGCTAAGTTGCCTTCCAGAAGGGTTGTACCAATTTATACTCCAACTATCAGTGTGTAAGAGTTCTCATTTCAGACTGTTTTCGAAAACACACAGGCAACTCAAATTGCCAACATGATAGGAGAGCAATTATCTGCCTGAATCTGGCCTAGCCTGCAAGGAGGAAATAAAGGTTCTTGCTGCTTCCTCAGAAAACTCAATTTGTACCCTTCTGTGAGCAAAAAAGAAGAATCCGTTCACTATTGCAAACTTAAAAGGAAGTCAAGTACCAGCTTTATTACAAGGAATTGTTGAGCTTCCCCCAGGAGAACAGTAAATGTTCTGGTATTTTTAATAGCCCACATTCACAGAGAAAACACAAAGGACATCGGCCACTGCATGTATTGATATAAACTGTATTAGCAGCAATAATAAAACTGTATCTTGTGTGTTATCCTCGCTATTAATGCCAGTCCAGCCCATGAAAACTTGATTACTTTCAGGATGATAAATAAAATTTCAAGCCCCAGAATCATCTAACGCACGAGTTTATGGGTTCCCCCAAATTAAAAACATATATATGTTGTTTGACATAAACACTAATCTCATCTCATCCCATTCAATTCCTGTCTGGGCTCTTATTCTAAAGACGTAATAAAGTATGCTAAGCACTTAGACCTGGATGCATGCTCCAAAGAGAACAGCTCTCTCATCAGGCTGCTTTAAAACACCAGAATTCAGCTTCGAAACACTACTTTATTCCTCCCCAAAATAAGATTTTAAAACTGAAATAAATGGCCATGTGAAACGAATTCCATTCTGAAGGGGAACTAGTGTTTGCCTGCAGGCTCATCATTAAAATAGACGTTGGTCAAGAATCTCTAACTGAAAATTTGAGATTTAAAACATCTTGTCACTTTCAGGTTGGTATGTAGCTCTCTCCATTTGTTTCTCTAAGAAGATGGATTTATGTCAGGGAAGCACTTATGCATTTATGGTGGGCGGGAAAAGATAATGCTGCTTAATAATGTTTTATAATTACCAAAAAAAAACAAAAACAGAAAAAACGCCCAAGAACTGAATAGCACTGGCACTGAGAACTAAGTCTCATGAGACCGAGACCGGTAACAGACACCTTCTTTGTATCTTTTCGCACAGTGTCCTTTCCAGTTCAAACACTCTGTGTGTTTGTTTGTTTTTTTAAGATTGTATTTAGAGAAAGTGTGTGAGTGGGGGAGGAGGAGCAGAGGGAGAGGGAGAAAGAATCTCAAGCAGATTCCGAGCTGAGCATGGAGCCCGACGCAGGGTTCAATCTCATGACCCTAAGATCATGACCTGAGCTGAGATCAAGTGTCAAACCCTTAACCAACTGAGCCGCCCAGGCACCCCCAAACATTCTATGGTTTTGTGTGTAATGTTAGAGACTTCTTAATACAAGGAGATCTAAAAAATGCCCCTCCGAGTGCAGACATCACTTGAGGAAATGTGTCTGATGCTGCTATTGGAAGTCAGGTTGACAGTGACGGATTCCCATTGTCCCCTG